TTTCTCTGTTTCGAAGTGAAAAGTAATTTCCGATGGTTTTATGCAAAAATACTTTCTTCCTTCTTACTTGACCTCTTGGTATATGAATATACACAGCGCTTCAGCAACTATGAAAATTATTTCAGGCCCTGCAATTAAAAAAAGATTTCCAAAAGCTGTGATTTTCCCACTTCGAGATGTCGCGTTCTTATTTGATCAACCGGTATATTAATATACAGGGTGCTTCAATAACTATAAGAATGATTTCAGGCATTTAAAAGAACAATTTCTAAAATCAGCGATTTTCTCACTTTTCTACATATAGTGTTCCGTTCTCATTTAACCATCTGTTTAAACAAAATATATACTAATATACAGGGTGGCTTGAAGGCACTTTAAAAGAAAAATTTCCAAAAACTGTGTTCCATTCTTATTTTACCACTCGGTATATCAATATATAGAGTGCTTCAGTAACTATATGAATGACACTTTTATTGACAAGACATTCCAAAAGTTGTGACTTTCTCACTTTTCCAGATGTAGTAGTGTTCTGTTCTTATTTAACCACCCGGTATATGAATATACAGGGTGCTTGAGTAACTATTAAAATGATTTCGGGCGCTTTTATTTAAAAGAAACATTTCCAAAAGCCGCGATTTTCTCATTTTTCGTTCTTATATATCGGTATATCAATATACACGGTGTTTGTGTAATTATCCAAATGATTTCAGACACTTATTAAATGAGATATTTTTGAAAGCTGTGATTTTCTCTTTTCTAGATGTAGTACTGTTCTGTTCTTATTTAACCACCCGGTATATGAATATGTAGGGTGTTTAAGTAACTAATAAAACGATTTCGGGCACTTTTATTGAAAAGAAAAATTTCCAAAAGCTGTGATTTTCTGTTTTGATGAGATGCAGTATAGTTCCGTTCTTATTTAACCATCCTGTATATGAATATACACGGTGCTTGAGTAACTATTAGAATGATTTCGGTCACATTTATTTAAAAGAACAATTTCCAAAATTTTGATTTCTCCTTTCGTGATGCAGTAGTGCTCCCTTCTTATTGCACCATCCGGTGTATCAATATACAGAGTGCTTGAGTAACTGTAAGAATGATTTCAGGTACTTTTATTTCCAAAATTTCGATTTTCTTTTAGAAAAAAAATGATAAAATCATTGGCACTCGGTATATCAGTATATGCGGCCTCGCAATAACTATAAAAATAATTTCAGGCACTTTATTTAAACAAAGAAATTTCAACGGCTGTGACTTTCTCTGGAGATGTATTGTTCCGTTCTTATTTCACCACCCGGTATATAAATATATAGGATGCTCCAGTAACTATAGGATGATTTCAGACACTTATTGTAAAGAAAAATTCTCAAAAGCTTTGACTTTCTCACCTTCCATGATGTAGTTGTGTTCCGGTCTTATTTGACCACCCTGTAAATGAATATACGGAGCACTTCAGTTACTATAAGAATCATTTTAGACACTACAACAATGATTTCAAGCACTGTTATATAAAAAAAATTTCAAAGGCTGTAATTTGTATTTAACCATCCGCTATATCAATATATACGGGGTGCTTTGATAACTATAGAAGTGATTTCAGACACTCTACTTTAAAAAACATTCCATGATGCAGTAGTGTTCAATTCTTATTTGACCACCCGGTGTACCAATGTACAGAGCGCTTCAATTAAGATGACTATAAAAATAATTTCAAGCACTTTTATATAAATGTAACATTCATCTTTCAAAAGCTGTAATTTTTTCGGTTTCTGAGATCTAGTAGTCTTCCGTTCTTATTTAACTCCCCGATATTTCAACATACAGGGTGCTTCAGTAAGAGTAACTATAAAAGTAATTTCTCACCTTTTCATGTAAATAAAATTCCAAGAACTGTAACTTTCTCACTTTCTGAGCTACAGCGGTTTTCCGATCTTATTGGGCTACCCAGTAAATCAATATACAGTGTGCTTCAATAGGAATGATTATTATAAAATTGATTTCAGGCCTGTTTTTATTTAACCCCTTGATTATACATATTAAAGGGGGGGGGGGGTATCCCAGACTGCTTAAACAATGTATAGAAGATTTATGATTTTTGTAAACCGCGTCTGTATTTAAAAAACACCAGGCGATCGTGTTGCCATCGAGCCCGGCGTGGGCTGTCGAAAATGCGATCACTGTCGCGGCGGTCGTTACAACCTCTGCGACGAGATGGCGTTCTGCGCGACACCTCCGTACGACGGTAATCTCGCCAGGTACTACACGCACGCCGCCGATTTCTGCTTCAAGCTGCCCGACCACGTGTCCGTCGAGGAGGGGGCGCTTTTGGAACCCCTTTCCGTTGGTGTCCACGCGTGCAAGCGGGGCGACGTTCGGTTCGGGTCCGTCGTCTTGATCCTGGGCGCCGGTCCAATCGGATTGGTCACGCTGCTAGCGGCGAAAGCTTTCGGCGCTTGCCACATAGTCATAACAGGTGAGTGTCGCCCCCTTCTCTCCACCTTTGATGCTATCCGTTCGTAGATATCTTGCAGTCGAGGTTGGATAAAGCCAAAGAAATGGGCGCAGATTACGGCGTCCTCGTGCAATCCGGCGAATCTGACGAGGCCGTTGTACAGAACGTAATCGCGGCTCTAGGGTGTCGACCGACTGTCAGCATTGACTGTGCAGGTGTCGAACTAACAACCGCCGTCGCCATCAAGGCTACCGTCTCCGGTGGCATGGTGGTGCTTGTAGGCTTAGGCGGTAATCCCACCATGAATGTGCCCATCAGTGACATTCTGCTTCGAGAGGTGGACGTTCGTGGAGTATTTCGCTACGTCAATGAGTAAGTAGTCCCCCCTTCCCCGCCCATAAGCACACTTTGGTTACAGTTATCCAACTGCGTTGGAAATGGTTGCGTCCGGAAAGATTGACGTGAAGCCGCTAATTACTCACAATTACAAAATGGAGGACACAATGAAAGCATTTCACACTTCCAGAACTGGCGAGGGGAATGCCATTAAAGTTCTAATACACGCTAATCCCCAATGGGGCCACTAAACATGGTTGTTGCATTTAATTTGCTATGTACTTATGATATAAGTTAAACGCTGGCAATAAAAATTAAGAATAGAGGGGTTACTAGAGGGGCCTCGAGAGCATAAACACTTCTTACAGTCGTATTAGTTATTATTTTCGTTAAGAGAGGATGGTATAGTTATAATTCATTTGTGTTTGGTATTTTTGTCGTGAAGAGACGCTCCCAAGGATGGGAATAGTGGAACTAAAATAATTATTACATCTAATCTCTCGAATTTCATCTATACGCTGGTAATTCCCGAACGTGGGACCAGTTACCTATCCCAGGGGTGGGACTCTGCTAATAAAAAATTCTTCGATTTAGAATCTATGGTCGATATGAGTTGCGTCCCTGGTCACAGCACACAAGCCAGTTCGGGAAGAACGCCGTGAAACTTGAACCGAACAAGAGCGATCTCTTCAAAATCCCTATAGACCTCGAGAAAGCCGGCCTCACCTTTAAGTCGCACCTTCTTAAACTTTCCATTTTGGGTGTCTCTGATCTGCCTCAGGTGCAGGTCAAGGAGACCATACTTTCTCAGAACTACTGTTCTGCTTCCGAAGAAGCCCTCTCCTTGCCAGACAAATCCTTGAAGGTGATGTTCTGGATATTTGATGCGACGATGCCACGCGCAACCATCGGATGGAATGCCTGTCGGATACAAGGACCATGTCCGGATCGTTTGGTGCTTTAAATGCCAAAAATTCGGTCATATTTCTTTCGACTGCCATAGTGAAACATCCCGACTATGTCTTGGGCAAGTTAAAAGACTATCAGCAGGCGATTTTAATTGCAAGTTGCCGCTTTGGCACTCCCCGACGACCTCATTGCGGGAGGTGACCTATGTGTTGTCAACCAAATGGAATCTCCCAAAGAAGTTTCTGCAGTTCTTCCCACACTTACATATATGGCTTGAACATTTGGTTTGACAGACTAAGGCATTCACACGTGGTCAGAAAATTTCAGTTCCTATTCCTCAAGATCTACCTGGGGTCTTGCAGAACGGTACCCAACGATTCCCTATGCGTTATTGCTAAGCATCCTCACTTCCTGCAGGAAATATACTGCAGCAGTATCTATCTATTTAACGACCGCATTTCTACCAATGACTCTTTTCGATCGCCAAGCGTCACATAAGGCCTTTGGTCCTGGGTGAATGGCAGCGGTCGTATACGCAGTACCATAGTGTCGTCTCTTGTTCTGTTTCTCTCCAGACCATCCTAGATCCAGTTCCCGATGTTCCTAGTGAAGTGACCTTGTTTTATGGTGCAAGGTCGTATCTTGGTATATCTCAGGCGAAAAAAGCGTCCTTGGTGAAGGGGATTCACCCGGTTATGTATGACCTTTATAACGCAAAGTCGTATCTTAAAATTTCCACGCCAAAAAAACACTGTATGAGTTAAATAATCCCATTGAAGAGAGAGAGATGTGGAGAAGAAGGAGACATGGTGCAAACCAAATTATTTTTCAAAGCGTTCAAATAAACCAAAAAAGTTCACAAAAAAATCACCCGCGAAAGGATGATAATAATATCACTATAATCGGGTAAACATTAGAAGGTGATCAGAGGTTAGCCTTTTTGTATAGATATAACGCGGAATTGGATAGTATTTATTTTACACTGCAATTGGGAAAATAACAAAGACGTGTGGGGTGACCTTGTTTTGTAGTGCAAACTCGTGGCTTTGGTGAGGGGCGACAAAAACGCAAAGTAAAATCGCTTTCTGTTCCACCTACAAGATTGAAAATTCCTACAACTCCAACTTAATTGTTTAATAAATTACAAGTGTGGAATTAATTGCTTCATTTATGACTTGTTGGTTCAATCCAAACGTTGGGAGTGCAACATACTCGCAAGCGTAAGGCGTCTTGAATAAATTATCGCTGATTCATGTGTATATGACAGCGTGGCGTGAGCCACCTCCGAAGCTACGACTGGACCAGACGTCCTTGGTCATGTTCCAATGTAATATGTATCGTGTCAAGTAGTCCATTTATATATTCATCCATAATTATATAGAGCATCTCAAAATGGCAGTATTATTAAACCACTCTTACTCAAACCACATACTTAACATGGTGTCAGGTGTAAAATAGTAGTAAAAGTTATAACACGTTTCTTTACTAAGGTGAACATGGAAAATTTCAAGCCCCCATCATCATTGAATCTAAGCGAAGACGTCGCAGAGAACTGGAAGTTATTTAAACAACGATTCCAAATATTTTTGGAGGCAACCGAATATACTAAAAAATCGGGGTCAGTTCAAGTGGCTATGTTATTAAACACGATCGGTGACGATGGGCTGCAGCTGTTCAATACATTTAATCTCTCGAATGAAGACAGAAAAGATATTGGGAAAGTGTTACAATGCTTCGAAGACCACTGCATACCGAGAAAGAATCAGGTCTTTAACAGATACAAATTCTTTAACCGCAACCAGGCGGAGGGTGAGTCATTCGATAACTTTCTTACAGATTTAAAGAAAATAGCAAAAATATGTGAGTTTGAAAAACAAGAAGAGAGCCTGGTGCGGGATAAAATAATACTGGGCATTAGAGATAGAGGACTACAGGAAGCACTGTTGAGAGAAGCTGACATAAATCTGGAGAAGGCTAGCAACTTGTGCCGAGCAGCTGAAGTCAGCAAACAACAGGTGAAATTAATGCGTGAAGGTAAAGGAAATGAACTAAATATTAATAAATTAAAAATTGGACATAGTAAAAAAGGGACCAATAGCGGTAGTTCTGAAAATGGTCATAATGATAACTATCAGTGTAAAAAATGTGGTAAGACTCATGCAATTCGTGCTTGTCCTGCCTATGGGCTTAAATGTAACCAGTGTGGTCGGTTTAACCATTTTAAAGTAGGGTGTAAACAGGCTAGGGCGACACAAGTCGGGCGATGGAGAAAAGCTGACAAAAAAGGTGTCAACGAATTAGATTTTAATAATGAACGAGATGAACCTGAACAGGCATGGTTTACAAACGAATTGACAGTGCGAAGTATAAAATCAGGTGCTTTAAGTAAAAGTTGGACACATGCGATAATGTTAGACAATCGGTTATCGGTGGACTTTAAAATTGATACAGGAGCAGACATTAATGTTCTTCCGTATAATTATTATAAGACTTATTTTAGCAGGTTTAGCCTAAAGGAGACTAATTCTGTGTTAATAGCATATGGTGGTACTAAAATTGAAACTTTCGGTATTGTTAAAATTCCGTGTAAAGTAAGTGATTCGGTCGAGACTTCGATTTCATTTGTGGTTGCTAAAGTTAATGCAAAGCCAATACTAGGGTTATCAACTGCTGTTGACATGAACTTAGTAAAACGGGTTAACAATGTGTCAAATAGCTTGGATAATGACAATATTTTTACTAAATATAAAAATGTATTTTTAGGTTTGGGTAAGCTGCCTTTTAATTACAAAATTTGCCTCTCGGAGAATGCAGTTCCTACTGTAAAGCCAGCTCGAAGATATGCCTCCTGCATAAAGGAAAAACTGCAAGCAGCGTTAAAAACATTAGAAGACCAGACCATCATATCCAAGGTGACGCGACCAACTGACTGGGTGAATGATATAATAATCGTGGAGAAGAAAAATGGGTCCATACGAATATGCCTCAACCCATCGCAGTTAAATAAGGTTATCAAGAGAGAACATCATGTAATACCGACAATGGAAGAGCTTCGTACAAACTTAGCTGGTAAAAAAGTCTTTAGTGTATTAGATATGAAGGATGGGTTTCATCAAATACCTCTTGATGATGAATCATCTTACCTATGTACCTTTGCAACACCGTTTGGTCGTTACAAATATAACAGATTACCTTTTGGTTTAAGTTCAAGCCCTGAAATATTTCAAAGGGAATTAGAACGTATTTTTGGTGATTTGGAAGGTGTACAGGTATACTTCGATGATCTCATAATAGCAGCAGAGGACGAGGTAACTCATGACAAAATCTTTAGTAAAGTAATGGATAAAGCGAGTCAATATAATGTAAAATTTAACTACTCTAAGATTCAGTATAAAGTTGGGAAAGTTATGTACTTAGGTTTAATATTTAATGAACAGGGTGTTCGTCCTGATAGCAAACAGTTAGAAGCTATTGCTAAGATGCCTAATCCAGTTAATAAAAAAGAGCTTCAGAGATTTTTAGGATTAGTCAATTATTTCCACTCTTTTATACCAAAATTATCTGAATTAACGAATTCATTAAGGTTATTGTTAAGAACTAACCAAGATTGGCAGTGGACCAACAGGCAACAAACAGCAGTAGATCAAATAAAATTAAAATTAATTAATATCACGACTTTAAAGCATTTTAATCCAAAAGAAAATATAGTAATTCAAACTGATGCGAGTAATCATGGAATTGGCCATAAAATTCGCGTGATCTCATTGTTGCAAAACAAAATAATTAGAATGAATTACTATAAATTTTCCTTTCTGGGTTCTTTAATGTACTAGCATATGTGCCCACGTCTTCTCACTGTCCCTGTTGGTTACGAAACCCTTTGCGCTATTTTCTGAGGTGACGGACTTTCAATAATTGTTCCGATAAATGATCTTTTCCAAGAAATAAATCAAAACAAGACTATCAGATTTATTTTAATCACATACACGTGCATGATCGGCACCGTCGAAAATATATTTCGCCACATTTACGTCTTCCTTTAAAGCAGGTATCTTCTTTGGAATGAGTGGAAGAATTGGAACCACTGAATATTGTCGTGATCGATACATTTCTTGGTATTTTATGCGGCACGTTGTCATTACAATCAGGCGACGTACATTTTCGTTTTCCCCTTTGGCTCTTTTTCTTTTGCGAAATTGCAGAGTCGCTCTGCGACTTTGATGGGAGCACCTTCGACGCCTGAGAAGGTCCGCCCTTTTCGTTATTTTGTACCTCTCCGTCTTCCTTGGCAGATTGTTTAATTTGTTCCTGTAGTCCGTCCCGCACGCACGTTAGGTACAAAATTTTCGTACTGCATTTGGGAATTTCCCTCAGCTCATTTCTAATACTTTCCTTCATTTCCCTGTAACTTTCTTCACTAATTTGTTTAATGTCCATAATTAAACGCCTCAAGGTGGCCAAAACGTTTTGAGGTAACATTTTTTGTAAATCTTGACACTAGTAATTTTCAAAATAACCGAGTAACCCTAGCAACCTAATTGAAACAAAGAGCAATGATTTTTCAAGTGGTGGGCGACCGCGCTTGCGATTGGAGCGATCTTGCTCTTGGTAAACCTCATCTCGAATGAGCGCTCAAACCTTGGAGAAAACCTTCAAATGGAACGGAACCTTCTCAACAATTCCTCGGTGGCAGCCGATACTGTTGAATTCAGGGCGAACTGGATGCTCGGGAGACGGTCTTTCCATGCAGTGTGGGATTGGGTCGTCAGTATCGCAAGCTGAGTTTCAATGTCCCGATTATTTCGATCGACGGGGTGAAACCCTATACAGTAAGATACCGCCAGCATGACTTCTCCAACAAATAGTGACCCATTGTCGTTGATGACCCGCTCTGGCGTTCCGTAGCGTAAAATAATTTCATCCACGAGCGTCCTAGGGCACGTGTCGATCCCTCAACGAGTGCTCGCGTAATCTGAAACCGTCGGTTGTTTCCGGCAACGGTCCAATCAGCCAATACCACGGCTGATGGTCGCGTATAATCTTGATTTTGGCGTTTTCCAAGCAAGTATCTTTATTATTGATTGAACCGATGTCGTCTGTAGGTTGACGTCCGGTAGTGGCGCATGTACCTAACTTGTACATTATGTTACATCTCCCTTTCAACAAGATAACTTCGATTACAAATTTAAACTAATGCTAATTTACTTAACCTATACATAATCCTTATATCTAATAGGCATTTTGATTTCTCTTTTTAATCGTTTTGTACTTGGTTCCGAGTTTACCTCACGATTTTTGCATTTATCACTTCCACCATCACTATTGTCACCTTCACTTTGATTTTCCACCTTACCATCTACAGCTACACTATTTTCTACCTTATCATCTACGCTATTTTCTACCTTATCACTACCCTGCTCTGTACTGTTTGTCTCATCTATGTCAATGTTACTATCAATAGTTGACCTTCGATTTGTTATTGAAGCTGTGCCCGCTTTTTTCAAAAACCATGAATTTCGTTTTAGTACTGACCCTTTTTCATCGCACACTACATATGACCTGGGAGTGCTACCTTTACTAATAATTTTTCCAGTTCTCCAATTTGAATTTTGATCATTCTTTATATAGACATGCTCATTGTTTTTAAACTCGGGACGAGCTTTTGCATTCCGATCATAGTACAACTTTGCTTTCTTTTGTCTTTGCTTTACTGCCTCTGTATTTATGTTAACTACTTTAGGTTTTAATTGAGTTTTAGTAATTGGTAATGTTGTACGTAACATTCTGCTATTCAATAATTCTGCTGGCGACTCATCTAAACCAGACAGTGGGGTTGCCCTATACTCCAGCAGATGACCAAAAATTTCAGAGTTTGTTTCTTCACATTTTTTTAACATGTTTTTGCATATTCCTACAGCTTTTTCTGCAAGTCCATTAGATTTTGGATACCTCGGACTAGCAAAACTTAGTTCCATATTGATTTCTTTTGCAAATTTTTTAAACTCTAAACTATTATATGGATTATTATCTGATACAAATTTGGATGGAACTCCAAAGGTAGAGAAAATTTCTTTCAGTTTGGTAATGACTTCCTTAACAGTTTTGTTATTTAATTTTTTCAGTTCGATCCACTTGCTATAATAGTCAACTACCACTAAATATGAATTTCGATTAAATTCTAATATATCTGAGCCTACTTTTTCAAAAGGTAATTCTGGAGCTTCATGAGGGATTAGTGGCTCTTTAACGTTTGCCCTACTAAACTTTTTACAAACTCCACAGTTAGTTACAAAATTTTCTATGTCTGACGAAAGTCTAGGCCAATAGAAAAGTTTCCTACCCCGCCTTTTTGTTTTTTCTATCCCAAAATGAACCTTGTGCAGTTGTTGTAACATATATTTTCTTAAGGATTCTGGAACAACTAGTTTATTATTATAGAAAATAATACCATTTTTGGTTACTAACTCATTTTTAATTTTAAAATAATGTTTCAACTCTGCATTGTTAAATTGACTTTTGTGGTTTGGCCACCCACTTTCACAAAATTGCTTGACTATTTTTAATGTATGATCAGTTTCTGTTTTGTTTATAATCTCCTCTAACCTATCTCTTGAGATTGGTAATTCCATTTCAACACAATGAACTACTTCTAACATTTCAGGATCATCCATCGTATTCTTATTTATATAAAATCTAGACAATAGATCTGCAATAAACATTTGTTTTCCTGGTAAGTATTCTATTTTGAAATTATATTTTAGTGTTTTTAGTCTCATTCTTTGCAATCTAGATGTTATTTTATTTATATCTTTTTCCTGTATTGCAACTAAAGGTTTGTGATCTGAATTTACTGTTATTCGCTTTCCATAAATAAATTGATGAAATTTATTTAAACTATAACAAATGGCCAAATACTCTTTTTCTATTTGAGCATATCTTGTCTCAGTTTCGGTTAGACTTCTAGAACAGAATGCTACTGGTTTACCTCCCTGCAACAAAGCACCACCCATGCCATACTGGCTTGCATCTGTTTGTACTACTATGGGTTCCTTTGAATCAAATATTTTAAGTGTTGGAATATTAATAATGCTCAATTTTAATTTGTTAAATGTTTCTCTCTGTTCATTACCCCATATGAACTCAACATCATTTTTTATTAATTTTCTTAGAGGACCACAAAGTTCTGATAATTTGGGTACAAATTTACTCAAATAATTTACCATACCTAATATCTTTAATAAATCCTTCTTATTTGACGGCTCACTTAAACATGTGATCGCTTCAATATAATCAGGGTCTGGTTTTACACCTTCATGAGAAAACTCCTGCCCTAAATACTTGACTTTACTGACCTTATATTGTAATTTATCAGGATTAAATTTAATGTTGTACTGTTTTGCCCGTTCTATAAACTTGTTCATTAACTCATCATGTTCTTTTTCATCCCTACCAGCAATTATGCAGTCATCAAAATAAATTCCTATTCCAAGATTTTGAAAAATTTTTTCATTAATTTTTTGAAATACCTCAGGGCTTATTGATAATCCAAATGGTAACCTCAAAAATTTAAATTTACCAAATGGGCTAATGAACGTGCATAAATTACTGCTTTCCTTATCAATTGGTATTTGATAGAATCCATCTTTCATGTCTACTACACTGAAAACCCTTTTGTTTTTTAATTTTACTCCAATTTCGTCAATAGTGGGTATAGGATATTGTTCTAAACAAATATTTTTATTTAACTGTTGTGGATCCAAACAAATCCGCAACTTTCCATTTGGTTTTTCTATGATTACAATATTATTCACCCACTCAGACGGACCTTCTACTTTTTCTATGATACCTTTTTGTACCAGCTCCTCTAAAGTCGTTTTTAATTTTTCTTTTAGCGAGTCTGGCACCCTTCTACAAACGCTTACAAATGGCACATAATTATTTTTTAATTTAATTCTATGTTCCATGGGTATTTTACCTAAACCTTCAAACAAATTTTTATTTTCATTTATAAATGCAAATTTTAACTTTTCTTTTGGGTCCCTTCCATTACTCCCATTTTCTTTTAACTGACTGACAGAATCAAGCCTTGCAACTAAATTTAGTTTTACACATGCATTTAATCCCAAAATTGGATCACTTTCTACATCTACCACAATAAATTTTAATTTATACTCTGTATTCCTTAACTTGCAATTCAAAATTACATATCCTTTTACTTTTATTCTATTATTACCATATGTTATTATTGTCTGATTTATTTCTTTTAACTCTTTTTGTTTTTGTACTTTCTCTAACCATTTTAAAGGCAACACATTGCACTGTGCGCCCGTGTCTAATTTGAAAGAAATTTTAATACCGTTAATTGTTACATTTTCCTTCCATAGCTTAATGCTACTTTCACACCCTATTTTATCTAAACTAATTAAATCAATATAACAATCGTCATCATCATCATCGTCCTCTACACCCGCTACTTCTAAATTATTGATTTTGTTTTTCTTACTACTAACATTCTTTCCATGCATAAACTTATTCTTATTCCAATTTTTAAATTTACACCCAATTGCAAAATGATTCAGTCCATTACAATTGTGACACGTTTGTCCATACGCAAAGCATTGTGCTATTTGATGATTTCTCCCACATTTACGACAATCATACGTATTACCTGGTGTTTTTGTTGTCTTGCCACCTGTTGCTGCGAGTTGATCTCTCTTTCCTTTTCTTATGATGTCTACCTTGGCATGCTCTTCTTTTAGGCCTTCAACTTGCCTTCTGGTAACTTCGGTGAGCCTGCAGTGCTGCTCCGCATCCTTCAAAGTTAGTTTTGTTT